GAGATTGAAACACACAGAGACACACAGAGACACGGGTGATGCCAAGAATGCTCTCCTTATTGTGTTCCAGGGCAGCTTACGTAGGGTCTCCTTGACTAATGGCCACGCCCTAACTCTCAGCTGCAAGCCCACCAGAAACCACTCCCCTGCCATCAGGAACTCCTGAGGGTCTCCTGCTCAGAGCAGCTGCTAAAACAAGTTGTTTGCTCAGGGCAGCTGCAAGCGTAGGGAAACAAGGTGTTTACTCTGACAGGCAGGGGGGCACAGGAAATTCGGGGTCTGGGGGTCCACAGTCCTGAGTTCTATAAGAAAGCAGGCTGAGCAAGCCATGGGGAGCAAGGCAATTAACAGCACTCCTCCATGCTCTCTGAATCAGCTCCTGCCTCCAGGTTCCTGCCCTGCCTGAGTTTCTATCCTCACTGCTTTTGATGAGGAACAGCTATAGGAAACGGTGAGGAAAATAAACCTTCCCTTCCCTTCACTTCTTGCCTTTGGTCATGGTGCTTCATCATAGCAATAGTAACCGTAAGACAAGTACTCTTTTGAGAAAGTCACCTGTAAACCCATAAAGATGAGGAAAAACCTAGAAATTGGCCAGTCAAGAAGTATACAGGTTGTTTGTATAAAGTGTTGCTGGTTTCAAGAAAACGGATTCTGGATAGGTAAGGAAACTTCATAGAACTGAAATTTACCAGAAACATGGCTGAATTTTCTAAAAAACAAACAAACAAAAAAACCTGAAACTAAAACAAAGATGGCTGGGCTGGTAAACTGCCTGTCACTGAAGCATAAAGGTCAGAGTTTGAATGCCCAGGACCCATATAAAAACTGCATGACTGTCTGCACCTGTAATCCTAGCCTAGCGCATATGGGTAAGCGACGGGAGGCTCCTGGAGCCCACTGGCTAGTCACGCTACTCAAAAATTGGTGAGCTCCAGGTTCAGCGAGAGACCTTGTTTCAAAACCTAAGCTGGAGCAACTGAGGATGACAGCTGAGGTCAACCACTGACCACACTCATGCACACACCCCCACACACGCACGTACACATATACAACACACATAAAACCAGAACAAAGAACCTATCAGTCAGAGGCTAGCCAATCCCACGCTGGGACATGGCTTCTGCCTGTGAGAGAAACTGGATTGCCTTTGAGGTGTATTCTTTGCTCAAGGAGCTCCTAAGTACTACGATTAAGGAATTACATTTACTCCGGAGAAAGACGCCTCAATAAGCAAGTGTACCGAGATGCTAATATTCTGCTCACATTTCATAATTAGTTTGCAGTGATCTCAAACAAGAGATGAGTTAGGAGAGCAAACAGGCATTTGGATGACTGAACCAGAAAACGGAAGTCTTGCTTTCTGGAGATTTCTTTTGGCTAATGTTCATTTAAGAGGCTTACCACTCCAGGGCTGGGGAAGATGGCTTGCTCACCAGTTAGGAGCATTTGCTGCTCTTGCAGAGGACCCAAATTCTGTTCCCAGCATCCACAAGGGATGGCTACAGTGACATGGGCATCCGAAGCCCTCTTCTGATCCCTGTGAGCACTGTGCGTGTGCACGCGCATGCACACACACGCACAGACAAAAATACACACATATACGAATAAAAATCAATAGAAAATAAACAACACCACTCGCTGGCAAACCACGTGTCTGACTTCACAGGAAACCAACCATTAGCTGCCTGGTGGTCACCCCTCCGCCACTCACAGGCGCTCTTGCTAAGATCTTCCTCACCGCCTTGACTCCCTGATCTGATACTCATGTCAGTTCTGGGTACCAACAACTTCCATCTTATCTTTCAATAGTTAACACATCTGTTTCCCCAAATGTTTCAAAGCCATTGACTAAGATACTGAGACTCGCTTCCTAGTTAAGAGTGTGACATCATACAGGGATGCTTCTGGTTTTGATCTATTTAGGGAGAGACCTGGATAAGCGAACATCCGAACTGATGGCACTGTTAAACTTGACCCCTAACTCCCCACCAGCCTTAAAGTTGAAAGGTTCCTACACAGCCTATCTGCTGTCTTGTGCATGTAAACAACGACTAGGGTTGGGGGTAACAATCATAGTTAAAGTAACATTTATTGAGCATTTGACTACTTACTGATGTGGGCTTCCCCTCTGCATGTTGTGAATACCATTGGTGAATAAAGAAACTGCCTTGGCCTGTTGATAGGGCAGAACTTAGGTGTGTGTGAAGGGAACTAAACTGAAAGCTGGGAGAAAGGAGGCGGAGTCAGGAGAAGCCATGTAGCCCTGCAGGAGACAGACGCTGGAACTTTACCCGGTAAGCCACAGCCACATGTCAACACACAGACTAATAGAAATGGATTAAATTAAGATATAAGAGTTAGCCAATAAGAAGCCAGAGCTAATGGACCAAGCAGTGGTTTAAAATAATATAGTTTCTGTGTGGTTATTTCGGGTCTGAGCTGCTGGGCAGCCAGGAAATGAACAAGCGGCCTCCTTACAACAACTGACTGTCTCCTTGGGACTTCAAGGAGTTGCTAACATGCTGGGTAAGGCCTCTTTGGGACCACATTATAAGGTCTAGGCCTTAACATGCTTAAATTGGCCAGCTGAAGGCCAGCTTGTGGAGGCTGCTAGACTCTTGCTATAAGACCGTAAGATGTGCTGACCATGAGAAGTCAGTCGTTTCTAAAAACGTGACTGTCAGTTATCTTTCTGTGCTTGGCTTCCTTCTGGGACCCTCCTCCCTAAACACACACACTCTGTCTCTCTCTTGCTCTTAACACATATGCTTACTGTTTTGCCTTTGGGAATCTTCTACAATTCAGTTCAAGTTTTCACCGAGTGTGGCCAGCCGGACAATGAGGGGTTGGAAGAAAGGCTCCTTTCTCTATACTCCGGTTAAGGGTAGTTATAGCAACTGCACATCTGCAGTTCGCACTTGTTCTCTCTTGCTATGGGTAAGTGAAGCATCAGCTTTAAGTGAGTTAGACAAAGGAAACCCTTGATGTGAGGAAGGAGCGAATGTGGAGGGCAGCAGAGAGCGGCTCTGCCTTCCATGGAGTTGCAGGGGGAACTAAACCATTAGGATGCTCTTAACACTGGCGCCTTCCCCTGGGATCCCTAATTAAAAGTCATACAAACCGCATCTGTGTGCTGAAATGAAATGGCTTTAAGATTTTGTGTTAAATTATTCTTTGTGTGTATATGCGTGCGGTATATATATTTGAGTACAGGTGTGTGCACACGCACATGGAAGACAGGGCAGAATGGTCAGCCTGGAGGCCAGCAAGCTGTGGCAATCCTGCCACCACTGCCAGCCAGTGCTGAGGTTACAGATGTGTTTGGATGCATTCAACTTTTGACATGGGCTAGGGGAACCCAATACAGGTCCTCATGTTTGGTTAGCAAGAACTCTTATACATCAAACCGTCTCCCCAGTCCTTATTGAAAAATCTATGCTTGCCAGTGTGGTGGTTACCTGTCTTTACAGTATTGGGGAGCTTGAGGCAAAAGGATGGTAGATTCCAGGCTAGCCTGGGCTACATGAGATGCTATCTCAAAAGAAAAACCCAAAATTTTTAAAAATGAAAAATGTTTTTCCTGTGTATGTACAGTGTGTTTTATTGAGACAATCATTGTTTAGGGTGTTCAACTGAATAGTTTAGCACTAAGTAGTCAAAATGTGGGGCTCTAGAAGGTTCTTTGCAACCAGGAAGAGTGGAGTTAGTCATACTAAAGCCCATCAACTTCTCTACTGAGCAACTAGTGTAAATACTTCATTAGGACTGATTAAGAAGCTGGGCAGTGGTGGTGCATGCCTTTAGTCCCAGCACTAGGGAAGCAGACAGATTTATGAGTTCAAGGCCAGCATGGTCTATACAGTGAGCTCCAGGTCAGCCAGGGCTACAGAGAGAAACCCTGTCTTCTTGGGGCGGGGGGGGGGGGGGGAAGGGGACTGATCAAGTTAACACTAAACCAGTGTTCTTCAACCTATTCTGGGAGATGTAAAAGTCCCCTAAAGAAACTGCGGAGAGTCTGGGGAGGAGGTGGGAAAAGCACCAGGGATCATGGCTGGACCAATGCTCCTCACTTCCTCCTCTGATGAGATCTTATTTAGTGAAGGTCTAAATAATGTTATTTGGGAACACAGCTGGGGAGGGGCAAAAGCATATAGTAAAATAATCATTTTACTGCTGGTGATTGATCATAAAAAGTTTGTTTCCTCCTGACCCTAGAGCTGAACTCCGAGAATCAATTTAATTTGGAATCCCTCAAGGTTAGAGATTGGCCTCCATCCTCCATCTTCAAACACCCTGGCACCTAGCAGAGACCCACAGACAACAGGGATGAAGGCGGTGCAGTCGGAGGACGCCCTACTCACACTCGTTCTTGTGCTGAATGATTTTCAGAAAATCCGTGGCCACGAACTTGAAGTCTTTCCATTGGTGTTGGTAAAAGCAATTGTGATACAATTGGCCCGACACCTTCTGATGCCTATTACTATCTTAGTGGCTGTTTTGGGCTGAAATCAGTCAAAAGGGAAATTCTATCATCATGGTTTTATGGGATGTTAATTCTTGGGCTGCTTTCTGTGTGATGGTTCAGTGAAGATGAAGGATATCCCATAATTACATCTACTCTCCCCCAAAAGCTTGTACTGTTTTTTCTTCTTGTAATAGACTTAAGAAAGACTTTGGTATGGGGGTTGGGGAGAGAGGGGGGAGAGAGATTGGTTTCCCTCAGAGAGAAACAAAGTCCATTCTACACTGTTGGATATGCATGCATCTGAGCTTTGCCCTACGTCCCTGTCCTTTGCTCCCTTCGATCTGCTCATTCCTAAGCACCACCTTCTACCAGCTTCCAGGCCTCTCCTTCACCTTCCCTACAAAGAAGAGAAGCGATCAACTCAGTCCTGCTGAGGTATCTGTTATGGATACAACTCAATGTCTCACTCTTTAGTTTAAAAATAAAAAAAAAAAAAAAAGCTGGCATTGGCACAGGGCTGGTGAGACTTCTCAGAGGGTAAGACACTTTGCCACCAAGTCTGATGAGCTCAGTTCAATCCACTGGACCCACATGGTAGAAGGAAAGTAGGGTATGCTGGACTACACAGCGAACCTTGGATGTCAGTGCTAGAAAATACGGCTAGCTATAGGAAAAGCTGACACACCAGCACGGCCGAGTGGGTGGAAAGAGCCATCCGTTTACAAAGGAAACTGGATTCTAGTTTATCATTAAGCCACAGCGCTCTGGACAGAGCTATTTATTCACCTTTTCAACTTCCTAATCGGTAAGAGACCAGGAACGGCTGCCAGTTCCTCTGGTCTGGAAAACCTATAGCGCCCAGCTTGATGTTCTTGGGACAGGGCCCGGGGAATGAGCCTCTCTGCTAGTCTGTGTCACAGCTAAACAGCCCAGGTACATCTCTATAGTACAGCCATCACCACCTTTCCAGGGGAACCCGTGGAGGTATAGACAGCAGCAACCAGCACAGGATCTGAGCATATTTAGAACAAATGTTTTCACTCTCTCCCAGATACCAACACCTGGGGTGTATATGACAGTGACATACACATCCCAACTCCTCCACACTCCTCCTCACAGTAATGTGCCATCTAAATAAAGCCGGAACTAAAAATCCGTCTTGGCACAGGAAGCTCTGCCCAGTGCTGTCGCAGATGTGACGATGTGAGCGGAGGGGGGATCTGGGTAGGACCCCAAACTGACTTGATCACAAGGCTGCCGCTAGCTAGGTGACCAGAAAGGAATCCACTCTATCTCGTATTTGTCTGGGAGGATGGATGGGAAGAAGTGGTGTTTAGACTGGCCCGTGGAGTGTGACTTGGTCTTCATCGTGGTGTTTCCTGTGGCCTTCATTTCTTCAGGTAGAAACCCATGTATGGAGCTGAAAAGTCAAAGAGGAAAACTAAATGGGATAATTTATTGAGAATCTCCTGGGTTCTCCCAGAGGATCAAAGAATGCCTTCACTAAGCTCAGACCAGGCAGCTCTCATTGAAAGTGTAAAATCTTTCCCCAGTTTTCGAGAACATATTGTTGAAGTTGGACTGGGAACTTGAACACACTGCTGTTGCAGAGGACCCGAGTTCAGCTTCCGGCAACCACACCGTAGCTCACAACCACCTGTAACTCCAGCCCCAGGAGATCCCACACCCTCTTCTGGACTTCTTGGGTATTCACTCATGTATGTGCATGAACTCATGTAGACACACACACAAACACAGTTTAAAAAAACTGACTTAAAGACAGATAATCCATTGCAGGTCTTAGCAAACAGGTCTGTTTCACATATACAATCTACTGGTTTTAATACATGCGGTTAGGCTGGTCATTCTCAATACTTCTTTCCGTGAAAAATGGTAAAGATCCTAAGCTAAGTTAAAATGTGTATACAGATAAGTAAGCCCTACAAAAATGTACCCATTCACAAACACCAAAAGGAAACTGTGTTTGTGTGTGTGTGTGTGTGTTACATACACCCACATTTGCTCATTAGGAGGCCAGAGGAGGACCTCAAGAATCTTCCTACTGCTTCCTGCCTGCCTTACCGCCTTGAGTTAGGGTCTCTACTCAACCAGAAGCTTATGGTTTATGCCAGTGAGCTCTCAGGATCTTCTTGTCTTTGATCCCAAATGTTGGGGTTACAGTAGGCACCCATGGCTCTGCCAAGCTGTTTATGTGAACACTGAGGACTGAATTCAGGTCCTCATGCCCACTGAGCCATCTCCCCAGCCCTACTGGCTTTCTTTCCTGTAGATATTTTGATATCAGAAACTACTCTTCCACTTTTACCAGGATTTATTTTAGTATCTTGACACACGTCTGTGGTTTGCGACAGGGTATAATTACACAGACAGACGCCTTTACAACTGACCTCCCCTGTAGTAGTCAAGGTAAGAGAGCACCATGTTTCCCCAAAGCAAACTGCTACCCATTGAAAACATAATTTTCTGCACGGTATTGGTTAACTGTTAAACATGCCAGAATCGGGCCCTTTCCCATACTTACAGAAGGAAAAACACTTTCAGACATTTCTGTAGCTGTTTATTATTTTTTTCCTTTTTTCTTTTTGATTTGTTCAACCTTAAGGACCTCTGTTTCTATCTACGCTCCCTGATTGGTTAGCCTCTGAGAGAAATGGAAATTTGTTTTTGTTTTGTTTTAGAAAGAAATATAGAGGGCTTCTGATCCCACAACACACTTAGAAATAAAATAGTAAAATAGGAAATTTGAAGCAGGAGAGGCCTCTTCCCTCCACCTGAAGTGCTCCAAGAGAATACATTATGTACGAAGGAAGAGAATTAAAACAAGGTATTTCCTAGGGGCTAGTGACTTAGATGGGGGAAAACCTGGCTAGGTAAATTAAAAGCAGGTACAAAAGACTTTTTGGAATACACACTTTGCTAGCAATTCCATGCAAATACTTAACTATTAAGGACCTCAGAGGGCCTGATGATGAGTTTCCTAATACCCGAAGCTGGCTTTCCCTCAGCAGCTAACTGTCCATCCTTCTCTATTAGTTCAGCCTGGAGGGAGAACCTCAGAAAATGTCTTCATGAATCACATTCTTTAATTATCACTCAAGTTTTAATCATGCGACTTAGGCTTCCTTGTTGACCTTAAGAAAACATTTGATACAATTAATATTATTAGAATCCAGACATTTGATCCACATATAATTAAACAAACACTGCTAATATTATAAACACATATTAGGAAATAATGCAATCCACTTTCCAATGAAATCTTGCCTTTTAAAAAAACTCAACGGTGGGGTTGGCTAGAGGGCTCGGTGGATAAAGGTGCTTGCCGCTAAACTCGAGGATCTGAGCTCAATTGAAAGGACCCACTTAGTGGAAGGAGAGGGGTGACTGCCACATTGCCAAGTGAGTCCGTATGTAGGTGGGGGCACATGCACCTTTACAAAATAAACAAATGAATATCATTTTTAAAAAACAAACAAATCCTTCAAGAAACTCAAAAGTGGTATTTTCCTCGGGGCTAGCTAGGAAAACTCAGAATCCTGAACAACGGTGCCATGGAACTAAAATTAGCAATGAAGCAGTAAACACATCTTTCAGGCGGGATCGATGGCTCAGTGGCTAAGAGCATTTGCAGCTCCTGGAGAGGACCCAGGTTCGGTTCTTTGTCACCGGCACTGGGAGACTCATCTGTGATCCAGTTCTAGGGGAGTCTGACGATTCCCTCTGGCCTCCATTGGCACAATGGCACTGGCACACTTATACACACACACGTTTAAAAATAGAAATGCTTTTTGAAACTTAGCAGACAACTGCCAGGATGCAATTTGTCATTAATTACAGCCTAACTGCTATCCATCACAGGCCAATGAGTTCTGGGAAGTTCTGACCAGGCAATGCATCTCGCCGCAGAGCCTCAGTGTTTCTCTCCCCCTCCCCCCTTGCTCCCAGCATCTGCTGCCTCTCTAACATGGCTGTCCCCGCTGTGGCTGCACAGATGACTGCCTTTGGGTGGCATTTAACATAAACTACACCAAACGCCCCTATAATTTCATTTTGGACTGAATTCATTAACTTCACAGTAGGTGGCTGAGGTACCTAAAAGACTGGATATCGCCACCTACCTGCCTCCCTTCCACAGGTTGTCTCCAGGCCAAGACAGCTCCGATTCACTTTTAACAAACAGTACCAAGTGAGAGATTATTTCATCCTAAAGGGCAGAGGCAGGTATTGATGAGGAATGGGCGGAGTTTTCCGCATGCAGCCATATCTGTCTGAAAGGAGCAGTGTATGGAGGGGTATAGTTAAGATGTCGTGAAGTCAGCAAGTGCTGCCGTGCTTGGTATTTTTCCGAGAGGTTTTAGCTTGAGAAGGGTGTATTTACATTATATATGAAAAGTGTTCTCTCTCTTTGAAATTTGTTAAAATGAGAAAATTACTATTTTTTTGCAGCAATTAAAAATGATACCACCGCAAATGCTGTTGTAATCGATACCCTAGGCCTTGAGACGGAGATGCCCAGGACGTCAGCTCCCCAGCATCAGGAGTACCGTAATTTAAAATATCTATTTTCCAATTACAGCTTTATCAAGATGTGAGGTGAACTGGACGGACATGTAAGGACCAGCTCTCCTAAAGCGGTGGCACCTTTCACGTCACGTGGTACATCCCTCCGTCGCTGGTCTGTCTAGTTCAGTAAATGAGAAAGTCCTTCTGAAAAAAAAAAAAAATTCTTCGGCAGTTCTTAAGCCAGCATCTTCAGATAGGTTTAGGTTGTGAGGGAGGGAGGGAAGAGGGGGAGGGAAGGTGGGAAGAGTTAGGAGAGGAGGAAGAAAGAAAAGAACGAGCTCTGTCCTAACTCCTGTTCTGCGGGGTGGGGCGCAGGGCAACTAGCATCTAAGGAGCAGTGACACAGAGCTGAACCTCCGGAAACCGGTGGGGGCTGGGGAGGGCGTCACTTATGGGGCTCCGGGCAGGAGGCTGATTTCAGACCTGGTTCACAGCTCCCCCTTCCCTCCGAGGACATGACTCCAGGAACGTCTCTCTCTCCTGTGCAACCCAAACTCTTCCGGTTGCAGCTTGTACAAGAAATTGGAAGGTGAGGCGTATACTGAAGTCCTGGCTTGTAATAAAGGAACACAGAAGGGCACTGGGGGATGGGGCGGGGGCACTTGGGTGCCAGTGACCAGAAGTAATTTTGCCAGCAGCATCTCTGAACAAAAAAGCAAACAAACCAATAGAGAGGCAGTACCAGTAGTTCATAGACATTGCTGGAGATAGCAGTTTGGACTTGAAAAGGGCATTCTGAACAATAATATAACTTAAGCGTTTGATTTACTGAAATGGCCAATCACCACTGAAACTTTGGGGAACCTTTCAGTTAAACAAAAACAAGAACAAAACAAAACCCACATCAATTTACTGGCTTCCATGGGTGTAGGACTTTACCCAGCATGCTACCTTCACCAAGAGGGCTGTCTGCTCTGGTGTCACCGACCCCAGAGAGAGACTTGATGAGTCGCTGTTCCTGGGTGTCCTGGTCAAGTAATAGTGTATTTATTGCCTGGCAGTCACAGCACAGTGCAGAGAAAAACACAAAACAAAACAAAAAAAAAAAAAAAAAAAAAAAAAAAAAAAAAGACCAAGAAAATATCCCCCTCCGCTACTTAAAAATGATGAAAGTTTCCATGAATGCTTCTGTTGGTCCAGCGTTCACTGCACTCTGATGGAGTTCTGGTCCTGCTCTAGCTGAGGTTTACTTCCTACAGCCTGATGGTGCATGGGGACTGTTAGGGCTTGGGAGGTCCCTAGAGCCTCAGGACCGAGGCTTGACACCTTCTGACAAGTTTTGCATGGAAACGCTGATGGCATTTTAAAACTGTTTGCTGTTCTTGTTTACAAAGAGGGTTACTGGACATCCAATCTGAGGTTTCGAAGACACAGCATTCTGAGGATCCATTGGGATGGGATCGCCCCTTTGGTCTGAGGATTCAGCAGAGATGGTCCATGGAGACAGAAAAAGAAAACTCTCAAGGAACTCTGACCATGAGGACTTGTTACTGGAACCAACTTGAAGAATCCAGTTTGTCTGGTCAACTGACACTAGAAAAATGAAAAGTACGGCACCCATGAAACACTCCTCTGGTCACGACAGAAGGGAGAGCCACAGTTCACACCCCCGGAGGACAGATACGCAGAACAAGCAAGGCTGCCCCGAATAGAGATTACTGTGATTACAGCTTGTCTGTGAGCGTTCAAGAAGAGGGTGTTCTTATGATGACAGCGAGGAGTCAAAAGTAGGGACCAAGAAAAATGCAGAGAAAGAGACGCAGATGGGATTAGTCCCGGAAATCCTCAGCTCTTGGAAAAAGGAGCACAGAGAAAGCGTTAACCCAGAGTTCTACTCAAGAAGACCTTCACAAAGAAGAAGGATGAGAGGGGTTCGCTGCTCACCTGAAGAGGGGGAGCGTCTGTTTCTCCCGCAAAACTCAGGGTGATGCTGGAGATCACAGGTGGAAACAGCCTAGCCTTTCAGAGGATGAGCTGGGAGGCCCTGAAGGGATCAATCAATGGTCTCATGAAGAAGATCAACATTTCCAATGTAAGTATGATTATCCAAGAGCTCCTTCAAGAAAACAGAGGCAGAGGCCTGCTGTCCAGGTCGGTCCTGTAGGCGCGGAGTGCTTCTCCAGTCTTCACTCCAGTTTATGCTGCTTTGGTGGCTGTAATCAACTCAAAACTCCCAGCTTGTGGGGAACTAATCCTCAAGAGGCTAATTCTTAAGTTCTGGGAAGGATGCGAAGGAATGGTAAGCAACTTTGCCTGACTGCTTCGAAATTTGTGGCACATCTTATTAACCAAAATGTGGCCCGTGAGGTTCTGCGCCTGGGGATGCTCACTTTGCTGCCAGGGAGACCAGGACATGAGAGTTCGGGTGAGCAGCAGCTTCTGCTCATCCTCCTTCTTGGGAGGGTCCTCCTGAGTAGAACTCTGGGTTACTACTTGTTTTGGGGCTCCTTTTTCCAGATGAGAATTTTTTTTCCAAATAAAAATAAAATAGTTGCTACTTTAAAAAACAAACAAACAAAAACCCAAAAAGTGATTATTAAAAGTAGATTTTTTTTTTCTTTTTGTCCATTTAGGGTATTCATCCTTTTGCTACTTATCCCCCATTCAACTCATAATCCTGTTTAGGTCACTATGATTAGTTGCTATGGAAATTCCCTCCTATGGAAGTGATGCCAACGTGATTACTGAATATGACTTTTCATGAATAATATCAATAACAGACATCAACCCTTACTCAAAGAGGGAAATCTAATTAAAAGATCGAAAAAAGGATTAATTCTGACAATGACTATGGTCAATTTTTCTGATACATTTTCAATCTGTCATCTGCTTTTTAAAATAAGCACTGAAGAAAATTTAAGACGTGAGCTACTTGCCTCCCCGAAATTCTGGAGGGCACAGTGGGGATTATCACCGTACAGCCGGCGGAGCCGGGTGGGCCATTTCATATCCGCTTCCCTCACTAACAAGTGCGCGCCTCGCTGATGAGCGGCAGAGTCAACAGGATTTCAGGGCTCGTCACGGAAATGACGCCGAGGAGCAGATTACAAATTCCCTTTCAAGACAAAGAATTTAATATTCTAAAATTTATCCCGGGAATTTAAAAGGTCAAGCCTATAAACCACCAATTGAAACAATAGAGAGGAGGCAGCGGACTGTCAGATGAGGATCCCAGAGAGCTCAAGGGGAAATTTTCCTGGGTGGATTCGGTAATTTGTGGTTTGAATAAAACCTTTGAAACATTCCATTAAGTATTAAAATCCTCACAATGAGAATATGGCTTGCCTTTAGCACATTCTACATTACTAGACAATCTTTCTCCAAAAGAAACATCAGTGCTTTCTCCTGCCTACTGCTTCTTCACTGCCTGCTACTAACTTAGGAATAAATTAGCCCTCCCAACAATTAGGATACTGTCTAGAAACTGCGCCTTTGCTGGCATTTATATTCTGGAAATGAGGAGTAAAAAAAAAAAAAAGAAATTCAATTCTCTATTAAAAGGTGCCTTTTGTATCTAATAGCTTATTAATGGTTTATGGAAATTACTATGGTCTTTACCCATACAATTTTATAACATTACGCGCATTAATGCCTCTGACCCGAGCTTTACAGCTCGATTTGGACAGTACAGACTGTCTACACTTGTGTTTGCAGCCACGATCGAGGGTCCAGAATGTCTCTGATGGATTTCTGCCTTGGAGCCGGCACTGGCTTGTCTTCTAAACTGGTTTTTGTGTCTGCGTGCTCACCATCAGCTGAACTGTTTTTCCTGGCAGGGGAAAGTTTGCGAGGGGCAGCCACTGGTTTCTGGAAGGGATGCATTTGTGACGACAGCCTGGGATCTGAAGGCGAGGCCGCAGAGATGCTGGCCTGGGTCCTGCTGTCCTTGGGTTGATCTGTGCCGCCCTGTGTCTTTATGCTGAAGGGAGGCTGGTCAGTAGGAGGAAGTGGTGCTCGCCTCTTTTTCCTTTTCCCATCAGGGGCCGGGTGGCCTGCGGGGGACACCACTTTCTTCTGGATGACCATTTCGTGCTTGCCATCAAAGACTGCGGCCCACGGGGGTGGTGCGGATTCTCCGTCCTGACCAAGGAGGAACTGTCCGTTCGTCTCTCCAATTTTTTTCTGTATTATGTCAGTTAAACTTTCAAGTTTCACAGGTGAATCAATGCCTACAAGAATTTTAAGAAGAAACTTCATAGGGAAAAAAAACCCAACAGTCACATGTACTTTATCCAAATAAGTTATTATTATCTTCCAAATCAGCATGCTGCTTACAAGGACTATCAAACGCTTGGGAGCATAAATAATAAAAACATGTAAAACTAACCTTGTGAAGAGGGCCCCAGAACAAGGCTGTCATGTACTGTACTATACACTAAATATATATCCAACACCCACAGTATATGAGAAACACATAAATTCCCACATACACAACACAGATGGACACTTATAAGCGCTTCTTGAATTCTTTAGCTTAAATATTTATTACACAATAACTTTTCTGTATACTAACCCTGATTTTGCCCACTGGGAAAGTTTGTTATATAAAGAGGGGTGGAGGTGAGGAGTCAACAGTTTTGTCTGTAGACCTCTGAAGTCTCTGCTCACGCTCAGAGACAAAGACAAAGCAAAAAGTGACAATCCCCGCCGTCCCCCCCCCCCAAACCAAAGCCCCAGGGCAAATTGGAAAACCCTCACATTATTTTGGTGATAAGGATGCTGGGTAAAATTTTCTTTGGGAAAAATAAAGAAACTGAAATAAATGTCTGCTGATCAAATCTGTGATGTGATATTTTAAAGTCACCACTTGGAACCTAAGATGGCAAACACACACACACACACACACACACACAAACATATACACACACAAACACACACACACACACACACACACACGCACCCTTGCAAGGGCATTAGCAGTGGGATAAACGGACACTACAGTCCAGATAAGCATGCTAGCAATCATCCCGTAGGCCACCCCACAGGATCACACACCAACTCAAAGTGTTGGAAGTTAAACAAAAAAATTTAAGACAGACAAATTTCTTAAGAACTAGATCTGAATAGTTGTTTTTGATCGGGAATGAACACTTCCACCCATTAACATGTCCCCATCGGTAATACAAACAGCGAGCAAAGAGCAAACCTCAGAAAACGACTGAACGCGACCACATCTTAGATCTGTTTGTTCACATTTTCTGAACCTCATAAAGCTAAGTACTTTGTTCTTTTAAGCCTGAAGTTTTCTGCTTGATCGTGAGCATTTCAACTATGAAAAATATGCGTTCATTAATCTTGTATTAATTCATCTATTAAACATGAGCTCCTCCGTCTACAATCATAGTCTTTTTTTTTTATTATTCAATTTGATGGTGCCCTGAAAATTTTTAGCATTTTAATGTCAACAGAATAAGCGGCTGGTGTGTGGACAATGCTGGTTCTGTCGCCCTGCGGCTCAGAAGAGGCAAGCCCTACTTACTCATATCGTGGTACACGGAGGTCGCCTCCTTTGTCAGGAACAAAGGTGGTTTCCGTGGCGACATAATCTCAATTTTCATAAGTTCTTCACAACAATGCTTCCATTGGCCTAAGAGAAAGAAAGAACTAGGCTAGTTTGAAATCTAAACGTGAAGCCATGTATTTCATTTTCTGCCAATATCGTCAGCACTGTGTGTGTGTGTGTATGTGTGTGTGTGTGTGTGTAGGCGTGCGTGCATGTTAGAAATGTATCAATGAAGTCTAGCTTTTAAGAAGCTTGCATAAAAACCTGGTACAATCCAGTTTCCAAAGTTGATTCTTCATGAGTGATTCCTTAAGAAAAACACAGTTCTGGGGAGAGAGTAAGAGTCCCAAGGCCGTCAGCTAGTTGCAACACCACGCACAAGCATCAGCAATCACATTAAACATCGTAGTCACTGTCAAAGTGCACACAACTTCCGCTCTGTGTGTTGGATGAAAACATCCAGGATTCAAGACTTTATTTGAAAGATAAACCCCATTGCAATCCAGGAGTCAGACGGAAAAAGCAATACAGAACTCAAGTCCTTATAGAGCTTTAATTTGGAAATTTTAGTTAAGAAGTAAGAATTATTTAATAGCTCAACTATTAAGTTAAAATACCCAAGTGTGGGCATTATCAATGTTTATTTTCATTGCTTCGCTATTTAAAACCTTAAGGTTTTCAGACTTTCTTCTCTGTGGAAAAAAAAAAAGATTGATATTTTCTGACTTGCATTCCTGCATACCACGTGAGCATCCACTGACGTCACAGAAGTCACGGGGCTCACAACCCCGTATCTCACATCACTAGAAAGGTAGGGAAGGCACACTGTATGCCTTCTACGGGTGACTTATTTCTTTTTCTTTTTCGAATAGTCTCAACATGGATATTCAATCCGTCCAACATGACAGTTTTCCATGGCTGAAAATGTTAATGACATTTCAGGTTTACTTAATCACATATTCATTCTCTTGTCACGGCACGTTGTGATAAACGCCTACATTTTGAATCCATTACCATAACTAGTTAAGACACATCGAAAGCCTTGGGGGGGCGTTACTATGATGCCGATTACCACAAAGCAAACCAACAGGAAACAGACCCCCCCCCCCCCCCCCACACAGGACGGGGCTGCAAAGGTTCCTCCCCAGGGTCGGAATCCAGAAGCTGGAGCTGAACTCTTACACACTTCCTTCCTTTCTAGATAAATTTTGACTCATTTTTTTTTCTTCTTTGTGGCAGTGGGAGAAACATCGTATTTAATGAAAAATAATGATTCGTTTGAAATGGGCATTTCTCTTTCCACGTTCTTAGATGCACCATGATTTCTGCACAGGGAGCTGAAGATGACGTGGTTCATAGCTCTACTAGAAACAGCCACGCTGAAGATGGGCAAACAGCCCTGTCCCACCCCACGTGCTCCTGATGTCAGAGGTGGTTTCACACCGGAAGCATTCTGCCATGACTAGGTCTGTACGTAAAAATACATGATGGCCGCTGTGTTAACACGGGGTAAATAGCAGGCAGGATGCACTGTGTTCACATAACCTGCTCTAGAGAGAAGGGGGTTTCCCACAATGCTATGTTACCAATCACACAGATTCAATGTGTGTGTAAGCATGCGCACAGACACATATACGTGCAGGCACACACGTGTATGTAAGCATGTGCATGCCGTGGCCTCTGTGGGGGTCAGGGAGACAGCCTGGAGGAGTTGGTTCTGTCCTACCACGGGGATCCTAGGAATGGAACTGCGGTTGTCAGGCCGGATGGTGAGTGTCGCTACCTCCTGGCCGACTCCAACAGGATGCTTACATGGATCAGAAGCAGCCACGGTCAACAGACTCCATTTTCAAAATAAAATCACAGATAACATGCAGGCTGCTTGGTTTATCATTAAGGCCAAGAATCTCCCTGTGAGCAAGACTCCCATGAACAGGGAGTGAACCCCGAGACTCTCACGTACTTTATGCACCGCACTGGACTGTGCTACTGAGATAGAAAAGGACCTTCATGGGACTAAACTCTTCTCTGGATGAAGCAAGAAACGCCATCATGAAAGATCTGCAGTTAGCCGGTGACTAAAAATGATACTCTTTTGAACATTATGATCTCAGGATGGATGATCGTTATCTGAAAAAGGTTTGTGGTACATGACCAAGGTTTTCAGGGGGAAAACATCTCTGGCACAAAAACTCATTTTAATATCTGGACCACTATGTCCAGCCCCCCAAGCCTCGTGAACACACTACTAGAAAACATGAATATCTCCTTACTGAGATCAAAGAAATGCTGCCGGAAGGCGCCCATCCATTCCTGAAGGTCTTCTAGGCTCTCCGCGGCAAAGACGTGAGTCACGGCTCGCCCAGCCACAGTGTTGACTATAGAGAAGTGATAGACTTTCCTTGGATCCTTCTCTATGGCCTGAATTTTGGTTTCCTAAAAATTAAGATAAAATTGGTGGTTTATCAGAGAATAGTTCTGAGATGGTCAAATATTTTATTGCTTAGGCACCACATTTATGCAAATTGTATAATATTATAGCTGCTGGTTTGAAATTTAAAATATGTCATTTCAAGAATTTTCAGGGTTCAAGCTCAAACTAGAATGTTTTTTAAAGACATTTTTTATTAAAAGAGCTTTGGATATGCTGTACACATATATCTATATGGTATGTTCTAAATTGCATGTTCTTAGGAAGTAACTTCCACTAGGATCTCAGCTTCCTGCCTTTTATATATTATCTTGAAATAACTGTAAAGCAAATGTAACGTGCCATGGCTTTAATGTGGATTATATATCAAGTACATTTCCCGCAGTCATAAAATTCAGCCAGTCAAGTCTGTTTCTTCCTTATTCTGATAGTCATACATATTACAGTGTTATTTGTCAAAGTGGCAAAAATGTAACAGTTTACAAGACAACAACAGGTTTTCTTCAGGAACATGCATTTCATACATGGCACTCCTTGTTAATGCTGACAGCTCAAGGCCCATGAGGGTTTTTAGACATCCCAATGTTCAAATTATTCCTTCAGTGTCCAGTACAACATTCTACCATAAGGGCAATGGTCCCATTCCTGCTGGGAAACTCAAATCTTTTTCTGAGTGGTATCAGGTAGGACGTTGCCATGACATTCACAGTGCTCGAGGCCAGGCCCCAGGTTCCAATTGGGCAAGTAGTAGCAGCAACCCTGTCCAGTTCAGATGGAAGAATGTTGGGGGAATGAAATCTGGGACAAAAGATTCGTTTTCCATCATCTGAGGACAGCACTGCCTAGTAGAGACATGACGGGAGCCACAGAGGCAATTCAGAAATTTTTACAAATGTATTTAAAAAGTAAAAATGGGTGAAGTTAATTTTAGTGGCAAATTTGATAAAAAATATGTTATTTTTTTTTCATTTTCATTCTTCAAAGTCCAATCTGTAGTTTATATTTAAGACCACGACTCAACTCTAGCTGCCTCACTTAAGCACCCACAGCTCCCGAAGGCTCCTGTGAATTCAGTCTCATCCGGAGGGAGGCAGCAAAGCTTTCTACAATGTGTGCAGGATGTACTGGTCTGCGGCTACACACACCACTTAGGAGAGGGGAGAAAATAACAGCCCGCACGGAGATGCACCTGCAGTGACCATAATGTGAGAGCATCAGGGAAGTAATGGGGTTAGAAGGAAAACTCTATTCCCTGAAGGATGGGTGAACCCTTGCAGCTGAACGCCATCTGTACCAGACAGGGAATTCATTTCCAGAGGACTTCATTCTTCTAGAATTCCCTGGAACATGTCTGCTGCAGAAAACAGCCATGTGTCTTTCAAACTTTGGAATATCACAAAATACAAGAACCAGCAGCTATCTTGGGATGGGTCTGACTGGTGGTCACTGGGAAATCAGGGAGTGCAGATGGTCACCAGATTGCAACGGGACACAGAGTCAACACAATGATTTTAAAGTGACAAGGTCTTTGTACATTCCCATCTCTAGATAACAAATTGTACGAAGATGTGTCTCTGTCCTTCCTCACCTGCCTCAGGCACCTCCTGACTGGTTTAATAAAGAGCAGCACAGCCAATAACTAGGCAGGAGAGAACAGGCAGGACTTCAGGCAGAGATAGGGAACTGTGGGAAGAATCTGAGGTGAGGGATTCGCTAAGCAGGCACAGAGGAAGTAGGGCATACAGTAATGAGGAGAGATAACGAGCCATGTGGCAGAATGTGAATGAATATAGATGGTTAAGTTTTAAGAGCTAGTTGGGGACAAGCCTAGGCTAAGGCCAAGCTTTCATAAGAAAGTTCCATTACAATCCCAGTTAAGTAATCATTTATACAACATAAATTTTTTTTTAAATACTGCTTACTAAATGGAATCCTTTAAAGCCAAAGCCACCAACAACAATAGCCAATCATTCAATCCACCCAACCCCCCCAACCACCACCCAATCAACCATTAACAACCAACAACCAATTAACCAACAACAACCAACCATGCAATCAACTACCCAATCAACCGAACAACAACCAAGTGATCTCTTTAAAAATAAAATTTGGGGCTGGAGAGATGGCTCAGTGGTTAAGAGCACTGCATGGTCTTCCAAAGGTCCTGAGTTCAATTCACATGTGGTCTGGTGCCCTCTTCTGGCCTGCAGACATACACACAGACAGAATATTGTATACATAATAAATAAATAAATAAATATTTTAAAAAATAAATAAAATAAAATTTGTTATCATCAGTAGAGGGTGACTGAAGCTCTAGAAGAATTTTCAGGATGCTTCTATCAGCCTAACTGAAGCCTGAATTAAAGTTGGGGAGAGGGGTAAAGAAATATTCTTGTTGCTGAGACTCTGACTTCCCCCAATCAATTTCACTTCAACATGTTTCTGATTACTCTTGTACAGAGATTAAATAGATTTCAACTTCTAAATACAGAAAATGCGATTCTTGGTATGTAAGTTTTACTTTCCACAAGGTATTGTTTCTAATGAAGCCACTAAGCAGAGAACGATGAAACAGACCATTTATATCCTAAGAAAATTCAAGTCAACAATATACAGATAAATACTAGGCCCTTCATTAACTCCAATAGCCATTAAACATTTCTATTGTTTTTAAATATCCCAAGGAAGGGCTTTTATTTGTTTTGAGACAGGGTCTCACTACATAGACTTGGCCTGAACTCACTATGTAGTCCAGGTTGGCTATGAACTTAGAGATCTGCCTGCCTTTGCCTCAAGAATATTGGAGTATGTCAAATATTTTTTGCTTTTTAACAAGTGAAAATAAAATGCCGAGTTGAGACTAAATTACATTTTATCACTCAGATTATCTGACAAATTGGAAATATTTATAATTAAAGATTGTGTGTCAAAGAAAGAAGGATTTGAACAAGTGAGGCCTGTCAAGTGTTAAAGTCCACTCAAGCTGCTTGTTGTACTGGTGACATCAAAGGAGGCTGAGCCCTGTCCTCCTCCAAAGATGAAATCATAAGAAAACAGCAGGGTAGATTTCAGAACTTATATCCTAAACACTGCAAGGACAGGCAGTCAATCACTCCTAGCAGGGTGATCATACCTTGGCTCTATGCCGTTTAGCAGCTCTGAATGCTTGGGACAGGGTTGAAGAATCAGAAGAGGACCGAGTCACTTACTAAAAGAAGCCTTCATTGATTTTTGTGGGGGAGTAAAAAAGATTGATTTCAGCTGTAACTTAAATGATAATCAGATCCAGAAGTTGGAAAAATACTAATTGAGTCTTTGGCTTTTGAAAAAATGCTAATTCAGAATGTCAAAGAGTGATTAGGCCTTCGAAGGCAATATCAGCACCAATAGATGAATGGATACAAAATAGTCAATATTGGGTCTCATACTTATGATACTCGGATAGGAGGGGTGATTTCTAAAAATTTTAATAAAAATCAAAAGGCTAGATGTTTGAACTGTGGTAAACCAAGTCATCTGAGAAGGGACTCTAGGCAAGGCATTTTCTAGGAACGGTTTTTTCTAGAGCTAATCCAAAAAGAAAGCCCCGGGTTTCTGGTGTATGCGGGTGTGGCAAAGGCTGGCACTGGAGAGTAATGAATGCAGATCAACATGAGACAGGCAAGGTAACCCCTTGCTATCACAAAGCACCTTAGGGGGCCTCTTGCAAGCTACTTGTCAAATTTAGTTCAATCACTCCCTGCCACCTCTGGGGAAACTCCTCCATGGAATAATTAAAAGACTTAATGACTGTTGTGAAAAACCATACTGTTCTGGATGACAGAACAACTTCAGTAGGTTAAAAAAAAATATTTAAGGAGAGACCAAAAAACAAGTATTTTGGCAACTTCTATAAACGATCAAAGACCAAACCTAAAAATACAAATAAATGGCATCGTCATTGAAGGTTTACTAGACACAGGCACGGATTTAACAATAATTCCACCAAAATCTTGGCATCCAGATTGGCCTCTTCAAGAGGTAAATGATCAGGTTTTAGGGATTGGAACTTTCTCTCAGGTAAAACAAAGTGCAAGATGGCTCGAGTGTATCGGGCCAGGAGGACAGACAGGAAAATTAAAACCATATGTGGCTGGCAGAGCAATGAGTTTATGGAGCTGTGATTTGTTGCAGCAATGGAAGACACAGATTAACATCCCCCTAACCTCAGAAACAAATGAGAAGCTAACACATGCTTCTGAGAAAGATACTAAAAGGTATTATCAGGAACAGTCACCGGGTGTTCTTTCAGAGGCACCAACAGCCCTACTTTTAAAAGGGTTAACTGACAAACCCATGTGGGTGGAACAATGGCCTCTGACATCAGGAAATTTACAGACACTAGAACAGCTGGTACAGGAGCTGCCAAATGATCAATTGAAGAATCGACCAGTCCCTTGGAATTCTCCTGTATATGTCATTAAAAAGAAATCTAGAAAATGGAGAATGTTAACAGATTTAAGAGCCGTAAATAAGGTGATTTGGTCAATGGGCTCCTTAGAGCCTGGAATTACTCTGCATTCTCTAATACCTATAGGATGGTCTATTAGAGTGATTGATTTAAAAAGACTGCTTTTTTTTTCTTAAAAAACTAAACCTTTACAAGAATAGGAGAAAAACTTGCCTTCACAGTGCCTACTTATAATATTTCCCAGCCTGTTTTTATCAGTAGAAAATTTTCCACAAGGGAAATTAAACAGCCCTACCCTGTATTAATATTTTGTACAACAACCATTGGAAATAATTTGTAAACAGCTTCCTTAATCTATAATTTTCCGTGATATGGATGACATCTTACTAGGTGATTCAGACTGAGATACCTTAGAAAACATGTTTGAAGAGGTAAAGAAAATTTTGCCTTGCTGGGGACTACGAATTGCTCCCGAAAAAATACAAAAAGGAGATTCTATTAATTACCCAGGATATAAAAGAGATTACAAAAAAAAATCAACCATAGAAAGTACAAATCAGAAGAGATCAAGTACGAACTCTTAGTGATTTTCAAAAACTGCTGGGAGGTATTAACTGGCTACAGACCACAGTTGGACTGACAACTCAAAAACTAAGTAATTTATTTCAAATCTTACAAGGTCATAAGAACTTAAATAGTCCAAGAAAGTTATCAGCTGAGGCTGACGGACAATTGGCTTTGGCAGAAGAGAAAGTACAGCATGTACACACATGTGATTGCTTGGATGCAGAGCTTGACTGCATCCTGGTCATACTACCTTCTATGTATTCTCCTACAGGAATTTTTATGCAGGGACAAGATAATATCTTAAAATGGATATTTTTTCTTACCACACACAAACAGATTAAAACATTAAAGATCTATGTAGAAAAGGTTTCTGAATTGATTCTGAAGGAAAAATTGAGACTTTGTGAATTATCAGAAACAGAAATCGTGGTACTTCACTAATGCTGAATTTCCATCATAATGAGCAGAAAATGAATATTGGGAAAGAGCTTGAAGTAATTTCTTGGGAGAGATTAACAAATACCCTAAAAGAGATTTTATTTTATTAAAAAAAACTAATTGGGTTCTTCTTCACATTGTACAAGGAATACCAATTTCTGGAGCCCCTACATTTTATACTAACGCAAATAAATCAGGAAAGGCAGGTTACAAGTCAGTAAAGTGGCTCAAAGCCCTCATGATTCTGTTCATATATTAGAACTATATGCTACTCTCACTGTATTAGATTTTCCAGAACCTCTTAATATAGTTACTTTCAATATACAGAAAGTTGTTTTACATATTGAAACCACTGAACATATTCCAGATGATTCAGAGTTAACTTTGCTATTTATTCAATTACAAGAAAAAATCAGAAATAGAAATCATCCCTTGTGTATACCACATATCAGATCCCATATATGTGTCTACCAGGCCCTCTAGTACAAGGTAAAGACGAAACTGATCAGCTATTGGTAGGAAATGTACTGGAAGCCTCAGAATTTCCTAAGAAATACCACGTTAATAGCAAAGGCTTGAAGAAAGATATTGTTTTTTTTATTACTTGGCAATAAGCCAAGGAAGTTATAAGGCCACGTCCTACTTGTTCTTTGAATAACAAGTTCCACTACCTGCGGGAAGTCACCCAAAGGGTGCTCAAAGAAATGAAATTTGGGAAATGGATGTGTTTCACTTTGCAGAGTTTAGAAAACATGTCACACGATCTGTGGTAACTGGGCTTTCTAAAATTCCTGATAAATACAATAGTTAAAAGCATTTTCAAAATAATTCAATATAATCTATTACACCACTAACTAGAGTTATTGATTGGTTCAGCAGATACATTATTGAGACGACTGATGTATAGGAGGGTGCTAACCAGATAGTCATGAGGACAAGAACTCAGTGCCCAGTGCACAGCTGAGTGTTCTGTATGCGCCTGGAACTCTAGCCCCAAAGGATCGGATGCCTTCCAACATCATGACTGCACACAAGCACAAACATGAGTAAACAAGCTCAAAAGTGAGCACGCACGCGTGCACTCCCACACACATACACACTAAATAAAATCTAAAACCTACCATTTGTTTAGACTACATTTTATCTTGGTTTATGACACCACATTCTATGGGACAAAACAAAAGGAAATCTTGGCAGAATTCCTTTTTTTTTTTTTTTTTTTTTTACCACACAGCTATTGAATGCAAACCAACTTAAACACATAATCATCTGCAGTGTATCTCTAGTCAAAATTACTTAATCTGAATGTAACAAACCAATTAGTCACATACACCTCCCTCCCAAACATGGCCTGAACTAAGAAAAAAAAAACATGTTAGTGTCACAAAAGAAAAACAAAGGCAGGATAGAACATGATTAGATAAAGGACTCGGTGCCTGAGGGGCTTGGACCAAAGAAGTAAATCAATGAAAATTAGATGTGTCAGGGACACTGGGGCAACCCGCTGTGTGTACAGCAATACAGTGTCAGGAACAAACTTCCTACAAGTGATGTTGTTATGGTTATACACAAAAGTACCCTTGATGTTAGGAGAAAGAGGCTGTTTGCAACTGATCTTCAAATGATGCAGAAAATAAAACAATAATCAGGAGAAAGCACATTAACAGCAGAATGCCCCAAGTGTAGAGGGGAGGGAGTTCTTCCTGGCCAAGGGTGTAGGTGGCTAGGGCGCTGTCTCAACCTTTGTGGGAATTTTCCCAAGTACTAAGAGGTTAAAGAGAACACCATATGAACAAACAAAAATACAAAGTTGGCAAATAATGAAAAACTATATGAAGTCTTCATTAATAAAATTATATATTCCATAAACCCAATTTTCTAAACCAAGATAAATTCATTATGTTTTAATATTGAGGCATTACTTATTTATACTCTTAAAGAATAGCCCTAAACTTTACTTTTTTAATTAAAACTTTATTATGAAGAGCTTGCGAATAAAAGCATTAAATTAAGTGGACTTAACTACGCAATAAAATGTCTTGCTACAGAATCCCCTGTGGGTAAAAAAAAAAAAAAAAAAAAAAATTTCTCAAGATGGGATAGACAACAAGACTGCTGGAAAAGACGATAGAACGGAAGTCTGGTCCACACAGATCAGAAGGAAAACACGAATGCCACCCCTTTCAAGAACTGGGCTGTTGTGTGGAATCACAGGTGACTTCACGCTCCTCTCCAGAGCAGGGCATGGACAGCTGGACAGATGTGGCGGCTCCCATCCGGCCACACAGTCCAGCTCCCCCTCTCTAAGGGGACGTATGGAAACAGATAAAAACAACTGGAACTTGGCTACAGAAACATCACTGGACGAATTCTAGGGAAGGGTGCTGTCAGGAGAGGGCGGGGCACAGTAAACACAGGACCCTTGGCAAGAGATGAAGTCGAGACTGCCTGAAGAACGGTCTATCCCGTGCTCACTCGGGCCCCTGCAGAACTTACGCCAAGGATGTGTAACTGGGTCGCAACACTGCTTTGTTGCCACGGACCTGGATAAGACCCGGTGGCAGAGCTTCAGGTGGAAAGGTGGCAGTTCAGAGGGCACTGCCAGCCTTTCCTATGCTGGCAGAGGTTTGGATAACTGTCCATTCATCCCACGGGGAACAAGAAAGGCATAGGTCTTTCTATGAACTCGCTTGAATATTAACTAGAAAGAATATTGCCATAACACAGGCTGATGATATACATTTACATATCATCCCTTAAATTCACAAAAATATACTTTTTAAAAGAAACTTCAAAGTCTATTTTTGTTCATTTGTCTCTGTGTGTATGTCACGTGTATGCTTGTGCCTTTAAGAGGTCCAAAAGAGGGTATTGGATCCCCTGGACTTGGAGTGACAGGTGGTTGCTGAGCTGCATGATGTGGCTGCTGGGAACTGAACTCAGACCCTCTACAAGGGCAGAAAGCCGTCCCAACCAATCATCCAAGTCTCCAGCTCCCCACAAATACCAATGTGGGGTCTGGGCTGCAAAAGCTGTCTGCTAGCATGCATTTCCATTATGATGTGTTCTTAGGGAATCGATGGTGTTCTGTCCCATCAATAACCCCTAGGCACGCAAAGAAAGAACGTTCAGTTAGTACGGCATCTGTCTCCACAGTCCTTTCCTCCATCCCCTGTGACTCCACGGATGTCAAGAACATACGTCAACACAAGCGTCATGCACCGCCGTGCCCTTGGGAATGCAGCATCTGAAATGTCTGGGCCATGGCTCAGCGGTGCGGTGCTTATCACAGAAGAGCAGGCCACTCACGCTCACCTTGTCAATGGAAACCACCAGAGTGGGCTCCACCTTCGCTTCAATTTCTTCTGGTCCGTAAAAACAGTGGAGTTTACCCCCTCTCAGAGCACAGTACAGCCTTCTCCAGCCAACCAGACCTTTTACTGTTTGCTGGAAATAAAAAAAAGTCAAGAAACCATCAATCTAAGTCACTACCACATCAACTCTAATCTCAGCTCAGTTTTTACACAATCAGTTAAGGCTTCAGAACTTTTAAAATGTGACAGAATTAGCCATTCATTGGCTTGACAGTAAGGCTGAGCACCCCAAATCCAAGAGCGGGGAAGTCTAGAATTCTCAGAAGCATTAGGCAAAATGAAGGTAATTATTACCACACAATTTTACACACACAAAATCATAAATCAACACAGATTTGGGAAAGCTAGCCTATTAAAATCTAGTGCTTAGAATTACACAGCAATTCATCAAAGGGCCCGGGGAAATTATAAAAATAACTCTCTCTGTACTGAAAATAATTCCCCTTCACTTCTTTCAGAACACTAGAAAACGGTGACTACCTGCTAAGAATGCAAATTTTCTTTCCTCCTAATGGAATCTTTTAGAAAAAAAAAAGCTATTGATTCATCGAAGCCCACGATTAATTATTTACTGAATATAAATAACTCTGGCTATAAATAAATCAGGAGTAAGTGGTACAGAGGCAGCTCTGGAAGCCCAGAGGCCCAAACTGCGCCAAACGCAGGCTGCCAGAGGGGCCTTTATGGGAAAGGTGCTGGGCAGCCAGAGTCGGTTTCCACACGACAACCGACAACCGTTGCCAGGGTCCTGTGCCTGTGAGACGGGTGACCCGAGGGAACTGGAGAGGCAGCTCCGCAGTCAGCCAGACTCCAGGGGGCCCTCTTCGGTAGCCGCTCTTCCCACCCCACACCTTCCGCACCTCGTGTCCGGTAAACGGTACAAAGGCTAACACTTCCAGAAAGGCCGCTGGAGCAAGAGCCTGTGTAGTAAGTGTCTGATTACCACTCCGCAGCTGAAGGATAGATGTGAGGCCCTCTACCTGCTCATTAAGGAATCCCGCAAATGCATCTTCGGCCATACAAGCAGGCTGGGCCACTAACCGGCAGCACACGTTGCCATACAAGGGGAGCCAAAAGGAACAGTCCTCTGGTTAAGGAAGAGAGGGAGGGGGAAAAAAAAACAAGCGATAAATATACATTTAAGGCTGTTACACATTCCAGAGTTTTCTTTTATGTTTCTTTCCCTTTATACAATAACATTTTAAAAGTTTTACACAGTGGCTCATCTACCTCAATTCTGTAATACTAAAGGATACAGGAGCGTGTGGAGAAGCCAGGGCAGGCCCAGACCAACAGTGTGGTCAACTGGAGGAACGGTGGCAGAATAGCGGCCTTTCGTCTCCTGACTTCAGAAGTAATCATTAGGGGAATTCTTCAGAGTTTAATAGAAAATAGTCTAATAAAAGTGACGTGTGGTCACCAAATTTCATTGCTTGCTCTAATTTTCACTATAATTAGCAAGGTGTGCCTCTAAGTGGAACATTATTTCACCCGAGTTAAAGACATTTAAACGCTTCGGCCCAACTTCTTAGCCTTCCCCTATTGAACAAGTAATCACGAGCCGTGAGAAGCAGCCTCCAGTGCGAGCCTGCATGTGCAGGCAGGGAAGGAACTGTGAGTCTGTGCCCAGTGATGGCATCAACAGGATGAAGGGGAGAGAGGGGGAAGGAGGAGTCAGAGGAGGACCACCAGCATCAGACATCAAAGTTTCAGCGAGCCGGCTAAGGGGAGTTCACACCAAGGCAGAGCTTAGATACAGGTCTGTCTAGCCTAGAAAGAGCAGAAAGAGAGGGGTGCACGTCCCTGAAGTGAAGCCACGAAGGGTGGCCAGGTGTCAGGAGACACAACCAAGCCAAATAAAGAGTGACCATGTTCCACGGGCTGCCCAGCCACAGGGAGCAGCGAGAAGACGCCGTGAAGCAGTGGCTGACCAGCGTGGGAGCACTAAGCTAAAGGGAGGAGAAACCAAGGTTCCCCCATCAGGGATGGAGTGGGCTGGAAAGTGCACGGTGGGCTAGAGTATTCCAGGATATTCCAGGGGGCAAGAAAGTGCTCCCAGAGACCCCTTAAAATGACACAAAGCCTCTTAACAGCTACGTCTGCAACAAATGCAACATCCAACTGAACAAAGACGTCGGCACAATGCGATGCTCTGACTGACAGGAAAGGAACCAGGCCCCCAACAGGCAGAGAGCAGAGCCAGAAAGACACACTGGAGTCACATAACGAGCTCAACAGACCTTAATACACGCTACGATTCTTGTAGTTTGTAAAGCATGCGGTAAGCAACTTGGTATCATGTGTTTGTGTGCAGGGGGAAGATCTTGACAATGAACCTGCAAGTTTCTTGTTAGTTTGAGATTTTTTTTTTTTTTTTTGAGACAGGGTTTCTCCGTAGCTTTTCGGTTCCTGTCCTGGAACTAGCTCTTGTAGACCAGGCTGGCCTCAAACTCACAGAGATCGGTCTGCCTCTGCCTCCCGAGTGCGCCACCACCGCCTGGCGTTTGAGATTATATTTTTAAAAGTTCTTTCAGAAAGGGACAGAAACCTACAAGATGGCATTCCTTTGGTGTGGGACGCAGTACAGCAGTAGGCATACCCCTTCTCCCCATATGGAAGGAAAGCATGGGTAATTTACTCTGGGCATTGGGGGTGTAAACAAGTATCCGGTACATGCTGTCACGTCAGGCTGCCTCACGTCGACAAGGATTTTAGGGTGCTCACTACATCCTGATAACTAGCTGTTGGCTGCAATCACTATTTACTTAGAGCCTTAGGAACCCTGAAAAACTACTGGTTTGGATAAAAATACAGCTACTTAGTGTTCTAGTTGGCTTTCTGTTGCTGTGATAAGCACCACGACCAAAAGCAATTCGGAGCGGAAAGGCTCGTTGCAGCTTACACTTCCCGACGCTGGCTCATCGCTGAGGGAACTCAGAGCAGGAACCCGGAGGAATGCCGCTTACCAGCGTGCTCTCTGGCTTCTGCTCAGCTCGGTTTCTTATACAGCCCGGACCCACCTACCCGCCTAGGGATGGTACCACCCACAGTGGGCCAAGCCTTCCTTTATCAATTAGCGACCGAGAAGATGCTCGACCAACATGCACACAGGCTAATCTGAGGGCGGCAACTCTTCAGTGAGGTGTTCTCTCTCTCTCTCTCTCTCTCTCTCCCCCCCCCCCAAGTCTGGAAAGATGATAGGAGAACCTAACCAGGACACTGGGCATATACTAAGATACATGGCAGCCGAAGTTTAGTAATCTGTCAGGAGGGGAAACCAGCCTAAATAAAGAACAGAAACGAAAACTAAAATGGATTCAAAACTGGCCTATGCGTCAGCCTACTGTAGACTACCAGCTTCTGGGACTAATCCAATCTTTTTATTAAGACCTCAGTAAAGGAGACCTGGGAGGATACCCACACCTACACAAAATTCCACAGTGCACAGACAAAGAAACAAGTGGGAGTCACCTTTCCTAAAACAAGCAGTAAACAAAATAAATACTCAACACAGCCAAGTGTTTCAGGAACACATAAATTTTCTATATAGGAATTTCAAATTTATGAATGGCTGATGTTGTAAATATCTGCAAGTTGCTTACTTTTAAGTTAGAATGTAATTCCTCGAGACACAGAATCATAAATGATTAGGTTCTCAGACACGTCCATAAAGTCTGTGCAATCAATAATGCATTTGAACGCGACACACCACAACTAATCATGTGCATCTCATAAGATGAGTCCAGATTTCACACGAGGGAGGGAAAATCCTTCCTTCCTGCAGTATCCTCGAGGGGCAATGCCAGACACAGAATCCCTTCCTGTAGCATCCTTGAGAAGGGATGCTGGGTGCAAAATCCCGTCCTATAGCATCCTCGAGAGGGGTTGCTGGATGTAGAATCCCTGTCACATCCTGGAAAGGGGATGCGGATGTAGAATCCCTTCCTGCAGCAGCCTTGAGAGGGGGGGCTGCTGGATGCAGAATCCCATCCTGTAGCATCCGAGGATGCAGATGGTTTGGTCCCCAGCTCCACATACTCAACCATCACCTGCGATCTCTTACCAAGGCTTCGGTAACTCCAGATTACTGAGGAACAGAAGAGTCACAGCTTCTCTGTGCCTCTTGCAAAGAAGAGGACCTCCAGGACACTCACTCAACATCTGAGCGCAAATTCTACACTTAAAAACGCCACCTCTCTCAAGGCAGAGTCGTCATGTGTGAAACACGTGCATGGCATCGACCATGAGCCTGGCGCGTGCCCACCGCCTCCGATTGTATCCCAGGGCAGCCTCACTCCCGTCGTCCACTCTGTCCCCGTGGCACGGCTACTCTCAATCCTAGTGCCCAAAGCATTTGTCAGAATACTTAATCGTTCCTTTCCAGCCGAAGGGCGCACGGGGACAGGATGGACAGGAAATGAAAGTGCCAACGACGGCTCATAAAAACGGCTTTCAAAAGTGAAGTCAAAACTGCCAGCCCCCAAGACATGAAAGTCGAGTAGTCCCTACGGACACATGGAACATGGGGTAAGACCAGGTCAAGAGACGAAGCCCGAAGTATCCTGTGATATTTGAAAACAAACAGAATTATGTTCTACATCAAGAACACACCGATTACGGGAATGGAGTCCGACTATTCTAAAGCTTTTACGCTGTCTGGGGAAAAGAGAAAACAGGCTCTTTCTGTTTACTTTGGTGATTACAAATTTAAGGGTAATTTCTACGATATTCCAACATAATGTGTAATTTTACCAACAGAGGGAAATTTGAATGATAAAAGTAATTACCCCTTGTTTGAAGAGGCAGGCCTATAACATGAAAAAAAATGCATATTTTGAAGTAAAAAATAAAAACGCGGTTTAAAAATTATGTACAATAACAAAGGCTCAAATTAGACAAAGCAAAATCAAATAGCCAAGAAGACTGGAATGCAGAACTTGACTCGTCCATACCTCCTGCCACACAGACTATGCACAATCACCATTAATAACAAATAATTAGCATGCTAGTAAATAAGGCACATGGGGCTATTTCGAGAATGAGCATTAAAATAGAGAAAAAGATGTCAGTACGAGAAATAGATTGCGGGCAGACAATAATACTGCAGGGGCCATGTGACATAAAGTACTGAGGGGGATTCCGTGTTCATAAAACTCATATCCGGCCGAGTCCACAAGGACCTGTGAAAATACTTTCTGGAAATGACCCAAGACATAGGAAAGCAGAGCCTGCAGCTACCTGAAGACAACTCCGTTGTAGGGGCGTGGTAGCACACAATATGGGGGAGCAAATGCCCTGCCACCAAGAGGACTTAACACCTCTGTCCACACACGGTCCAAATCCTAGCATCTGGGAAGGGACATACATTTGGCAGAGCCATGAAAGACCAGCAGGGAAGCAAACACAACCCATGTTGGGACTTCCACACCCATTGTTCCCAGGGGACGTTCTACCAGTGAGAAGAGCTGTGTAGAGATTCCCCTTAAAAAGGTTAAATCGCATGTCTCACAGCCCATCACCTTCCCTCTATTTTTGGTAAATTTTATTACAACTTTGCAAAGTCACCATGAAATCACCCATCCCAGGAGCATCGAGGCCCTCTGGCCTTTACAGCCAGAAAGCACGAAGTAGCCATACACACACTTCCATACCCTTTCCCCTAGGAATTGGATGAGTGTGGAATGAATGAGCTCCTCACCCAACGCTGCTCTGTATTTCCCACCCCAGGTACAGCTGGCAACGTGCTCACAGACCTTCCCTACCGCCTGAGCTTCTTAAGACACATTCCCATAGATTCTTTTCAGAAAAAAAAAAAAACCAAAACAATGAAATTAGCATTAAAATGAACAGAAGCCTGCTTCCTCCGTGCCCTCACTTTCAGCAGAAGGCGTGGCTTAAAAAAATTAAAACAAAACAAAACAAACAAACAAACAAACAAAAACAGAAGGCATGGCTTGTCCTGATCGTTAACTTTAAACCCAGACGCATCCGACTGTCAGCCAGCAGAACAGAGAATCATCAACTCTGAGTCACAGAGAAAAGGGCACGGAACACTTCAAATCTTTCTATTGGGAGTCAGGGTCAGCCACAACAGCAACAAGAACCCTTTATCTTTCTCCTCTGGGGAAGAGAGAGACAGGGTGGCGAAAACCCAGACTTGTCCATGTGTATATTTGTAAATCCAAAATCCCCTCCAGGGGAGCATGCTAAAATTAGGAGTCACCGTCACCACAGGCATACATCCAACACACGTGATTAAATCACGCACAGAGTACTCACCATTGCCGTGAACAGATAGATTATGGGTCTTGAAGCAGTCTCCCACACTTTCCAAGGTCAGGGTGGCATGAGCTAGCAGATGGTACTTCGCACCCCTGAGAACGAGATAGAAGGCATCCTTGAGTATTCTTACATGCTGTCTCTGTGAGGTCAGCCATTCAAGTGTCCAGCAAAATGAAAACAACAAACAACCTGTCCTTAGAGAATAGGGCAAATGACTCGGACGACATTTCTCTAAACACACACAAGAGGCCCCCAATCAATGGCGAAGCCATGTTGAACATTTCCAGGGTAAAGCGACCACAAAAAGGTACCATCTAATTCTACTGCTAGGCGAACTGACCACCATGAAAACAAATCTGGGGTTGTGGGTACGGAACAGAGGAACACTGCCTGGGGCGAGGAGGATATAGAAGCCTGCACAACTGCCAAGCAGAGCAGGGGGCGGCAGCTGTTGAGAAGAATAATACAGTGGTTCCTCCAAAAACTAGGAAAAAGAGACCATCCCAGGGAGATCCAGTGGCTGGGCTTCTGGACACACACCCACAGGGACGGAAAAGAAGGACGGGAATAAACATGTGAGCACTATGTTCACAGAGGCATTACTTTATAAGATCTGAAAGGCTGAAAAACTCAAGTGTCCATCTGAAGTGCTGGCTTAGTGGTCGCACATGAATCTACTGATATTTCAATTATCATCTACCTCCCCATAGTCCCTCAGTCGGCACCCTGCTGGCTACTCAGACCGTAGACCTGGTGGGGTCCCACGCCTCAGCTCTGCTCCGGTCACAATATATAGGTTTATGAAGTCTCTCATTCTATTTATCAATAAGACTTGGGGTTCAATGGCTGGGGTGAAAATCTACTTGCTCAGAGGCTGAGTAGTAACTAGCTGGCCTTGCTTTTTGGCCACAACACACCATGAGACACATCTCTTGCCTCGTTCTAGAACCAAGAGAGCTCAAACTCTAGTCCCCACCCTTTCCTTCCTGTGCATCTTCTCTATCCAAATTGTTGGTTACTCTATGGTCAGTTTCCACCTAGGAATGGAGAAATGGCATCTACCTACCTATCAATCTACCAACCTTCTATCCAAAGATTGTAAAGAATTATCCAACCTTCAAAAGAAAGCAAATTCTGACACATTTTACATACACACAACATGGATGACCTGTGAAAACATGATGCTCAGTGAACTATTTCTGTCACAGAAGGACACATCTCATACGACTTCACTTCATCCCAAGCATCAGAAGCAGTCAGATCCTTGGGTAGCAGAACAATGGCGGTGAGAGGCCAAGTAGGGAAAAGCAGGGGCCAGGGGTGTTGGTGCTGAAAGGGTACAGCATTTCAGCTCAGGAAGATGAAGAAGTAGTAGAGACGGATGGTGGGGATGGTCACCCAGAATAGCAAAGTAAATCTACCTTATACCCCTCAAGTGTGTTCTCAAAAACTGCTAAGACAGTCAATAGAAGTCACATGCAATCTGTAACAATATGAAAAAGCTCAGCTATACAAGATACACACGATGGTACACCCCATGTTCTCAGCATGTTGGACGCAGAGCCAAAGACTGTGATCCTGAACTCCATGGTAGGGTCTCCCCGTCCTCACATTTATATATCATGATGACAGATTTATACCCAATACACATTATTAATCAATTTAGCATCCTTATCACTTTATATTTTGGCAATTAGAAAAACCTGTAAGCTTTTTAATAACACAGATGTCTCAATGAAGGGTCTCTGTTTGCTCTAAGCACATTTACTCAAAATCCCTATAATGCGTCAGCTAAGTCTTGCGCTAAGTGATGGGCATTCAGTTGTAAGATCCAGTGTTATGTTCTTGGGCAGGCAGGAGTGGAAAAAAGGGAACAGACAGCAATAAACACAAACAACATACCAGCAACTTCTAGCGGTGCTAAAACCTTTGCTGTGACAGGAACAAAGGTGAGAAGTGCCACGCTAGGAAGGTAAAGTAGAGAAAGCGTCTCCGAGAAAGCGGCACCGACGCAGAGGTCTCGGGGCTGGAGAGATGGCTCGGCAGGGAAATGACTTGGCGTGCCAGCATCAGGACCCATGTGAAAATCAAGCAGCACATGTCTGTACAGTGGGATCACCCTTCTGTACGCTGCGATAGATGTTGCTCTCATTGGCTAAGAATAAAAGCCGCTCAGGCCTATGCCAAGGCAGAATATAGCTAGGCAGGAAAGCTAAACTGAATATAGAAAGAAAGAAGGACCGAGTGGGGCTGGGGGGAGGACATGAGCCAGGTGCCCAAGAAACAAGATGCCAGAAGACTGGTGATGCCACAGCCACGTGGCCATACACGGATTAGTAGAAATGGGTTAATTTAAGTGTAAGAGCTAGTTAGTAATATGCCTAAACTATAGGCCAAATATTTTCTAATTAATATTAAGCCTCTGAGCGATTATTTCGAAGCAGCAGTGGGACCAGGAGGGAGGGAGGGAGGGAGGGGGGGGGAGAGAGAGAGAGAGAGAGAGAGAGAGAGAGAGAGAGAGAGAGAGAGAGAGAGAGGGAGGAACCCCCGTTTATACCTCTGCACTCTCTGCACTGGGTGGGAGAGAAGGGTGGATCCCTGGAGGTCACTGGCCAGTCATGCTACCTGAATGGGGAGCCACCGCCATGGGTGAGCTCCAGGTTAAGTGACAGACCCCAAAATGAGGTGCAAAGTGATCCAGAGACACCCAGTATTCACCTTTGGCTGTGAGAAATGCACGGAGCGCATGTATGCATACATATTCCACACCTGGATGAGCAAATGACTCCAGAAACTGAGGAGACATGGCCTGCGCAGGGAGAGCTTGGAAAGCAACTTCAGCGCCAAAAGGAAAGCAGAAGTAGTGTGGCAGCTACCCATGGGGCAGGCCGAGGCTGGACATGCAGGCAGAGGTCAGAAGGCACTGGGCTTCGTGAGGCCCAGAAGGAGGGTGGGTTGAAGTCTATGAAGAAGGGGAAATCACCGCAAGTTGAGAGGTGGATAATGAAACCTAGAACTAACTGGACTTTCCAGGGCAAAGACCCTCTTTGACCGAACCCTAGCCAGGCTTCTCCGAGCCTTCTGTTGAACTGGGTCTCAACCTGGGCCTACACAGGCTGCGTGAAGAACTGCACCCTGGTCCCAGCCCACCTCTACAGATGGGTGGGTCCCTGTCTCCCAGTCTGTTTGGACAGCCTCACTTGCTGATGTCCCAGCTGGTAAAACCAGGTGAGCTGCACCCAGACCCACTCGGGACTCCCCTTGGGGCTGTGTGGCATTTCCACGTCCGCGACTCTGAGCCCTAGCTTGTCACCCCCCTGCCCCTTCCTGCTCCCGTTCAAGCCCCTCAATGTAGATTAGAGTGGAGCACCATTCTTGCTGGCTTCTGCTCCCTGAGCAAGAGTAAACTGTTAGCACCTGCGTGACCACTTTATTTCCTGCCGGCTTTGTCTGACAAACGCAATCTCCTTCCTTCCGGCTGTGGACTTGAAAGGTCTGGCGTTTCTACCCGCAGCGTGGGGAGCGGAGGCTGTCCGGTCTCACAACTAGCACACTTGCCGGAATTCTTAGACAATCTGGCGATGAAGTTAGTAAATGGTTATAGAAACTGAATTTGGGACTGGGGTGGTGTGGCTCAGTGGTAAAGTTGTTTGCCGAGTGTATTCAATGCCCGGAACAGGACCAAAAGAAAAAAAAATCCACATAAATAACAACCGTATTTTTCTATGCCAATAACCTCAGTTTTATGAGTTTTTGTGGTTTTATGACTTTCCTCTCCAAGCGCTGAGGAGTATGTTAAGGGTACATGTGTGCACACAGACTCCGGATAACCCGGGGAAAAGACAGGTCTGATGGGAATCTTTCACTGTGCCAGCTGACGTTTCACAAACTTAGCTCCCACTAAATCTTTGATGGGATCTCTAATAATAATATGCACACGTTTAGCAAGCACATAGCATTCTTTACTGGAATCTCTGCAATGAAAAATGTGCACACAGCAAACGTACAGGGATGCATGCACGTCCTCTAAAACAAAAGGATGTTCCATAGAAGGTTTTCTGACAAAATCTTTTTTTTTTTAAAAAAAAAATTATGCTTTAAGTTTTGTGTGTGTGAGTGTTTTGCCTGCATGTATGTCTGTGCACCACGTGCATGCCTGGTGCCCACAGAGGCCAGAAGGGGGCATCAGATCTCCTGGAGCCAGGGTTGCAGATGGCTGTGAGCTGCCACATGGGTGTTAGGCATTGAACCAGGGGTCCTCAGGAAGAGCAACCAGTGCTCTGAACCACTGAGCCTTTGCTCCAGTCCCTCCCTCAGCTTTTCATTTTGTATAATCCTTACGGACCGGCCAGGCTAATTTTTAGCACACAGTGTTTCAGGTTAAACTTTATGTAGGAAAACTTGTTATTTTTATTTCCATATTTCAATCCTGACAATGTCATCAGCGTGAGGCGTGAGCACAGATCTAGCGGGTCTGAACAGGATATCAGATTTAAACACTTTTGCACAAGGCCACTGAGAATCATATCGCCACTACCGAAGCCACTAACCTCATGCTCTGTGTGAGTTAGTCGGCTAGCACTGCCTGCTCCGTGTGGGCTAGCCTCTGCTAGCACTGCCTGCTCCATGTGGGCTAGCCTCTGCTAGCACTGCCTGCTCCATGTGGGCTAGCCTCTGCTAGCACTGCCTCGCACTACGCACGTTTCCCTGGAGCCTTTCATAATTAGCTTCCATTTTCCCCTAGCATCTACACGAGTTCCCCCTACCCCTGCAAAATTGAGGAAGCACGGGAGACAACTGGAGAATGAATCCAAGGAACCAAAGACCATGAGCACAAGGAGCGTGCTAACAGCACACAAGGCTGCCTGCTAATACGACGCCAGCTGTGTGGTAACAAGGTGTAATGTACGACGCGCGCTCCCGAGATGCTCATTTGTTTTACGGAAGTACATTGTTGAATACTGTAAGTGCTTTAAATTGATAAAGCAGTATCATTTTCCTTGCGAGAAAGAAAAAGAAATAGACTGGCTATCGGTGATTGAATGCAGAACGTGCCGTCTTTGGGAGAAAGATCGCTGACAATGAAGTCGAG